GACCGGCCCCAAGCAATTCATTAGTAGTTGGTTTTACTCGTCAAGTTCCATCATCTGGATTCGAACACAGGTCTGTATTTCAACAGTTCATGGGTAGGCTCTTGGGTGTAGCGGTAGGGTTTAGGAAAACCCTGGCCTTTGGTCGAGGGCCGATGGGACGCGTATCTCCAGTGAGGGGATATACGCACACTAACAATTGGTTACTAATTTCTGGGCGGAATTACGGGCAGATGCATGCAGGTCCGGCCGTCAATGTGGTCAGATGCATTCAGGATAGTGCCAGTGTGAGCAGGCCTTGGGGGGGAATTACGGCCAGATGCACACAGGTCCGACCGTAAATGTGGTCAGATGCTTTCAAGATACTGCCAGTGTGAGCAGAGGTCTTGAGCGACGGCAACAACACGAGTGACGGCAACAAGTATTCCACCCACGACGCCAATGCCCAGGTGCGACGTGCAACGGCGCGAAGCAGTCATGCAGCTGCACATTGTCAGTCAATCGATCAATCAATCAATCAATCAATCAGGCAGCGATCAAAGAGTCACGTAACCGCAATGAATTGATGGGGTCAGTGTGTGTCTACGGAGGAATCTGCTAATGACTCATAAGCATTCTCTCTTCTTCCGGTCGGGCGATGCCATGAGTCATTGTGCTAAATGATCAGGTAGTCTGCAAGCTGCTGAAGAGTCCAATCAATCAATGAGTGCAACCATCTCCCCTAATCAACGTATCAATCAACCAATCAATCTCTCAAGAGATCATCAGGAGCTCAGCACGTGCTCATTTTGGATTGCGCGTGAATTTGTCAATCGTGGCATTTGATGTGTGGGACAGATCGGTCGTAACAAGGTCGAGGAGCGCACTAATCTGCACCTGCTAGTGGTCACGATGATGATGGTTGCAAGGGGAAGGGGGAGGAAGGCCCACCTACCTGGTGGTCGCGCGCGCCTGAGGAGCTGGGGGGAAAGACACAATTCCAGAACCGCAAACCTCTTCTCCGTTTCAAAGGGATACGAAAGACCTGATTGCTTGTGGACTGGCTGAGCGAACAGAACGCCCCGTCATCATGAACGTATACAGAGTGTCTTTACGGCTTGATACAGGCAGGATGATAGGGCGGTACGCGCGGGGGCAGAAGGTAGTCGTGTGGTTCTGTGCTTTTTCCCCAATTAGCACGTGGGGATTGCGCCTGCGACGCTATAAGGGGTAGCAAAATGTAGTGCCAGGTAAAGGGATAAAAATGCCATTCGTTTAATGAATAGAATTGAATAGAATAGAATAGAAAAGGAAAGAAAAAGGGGCAGCTCACTCAAGCTGCTGCTGCTGCTGCTGCTGGACTCCGCAGCTCGTGTTTTTTTTTTTTTTTTTTTTTTTTTTTTTTTTTCCTTTGTCCTTTTGTCCCTCACAGACAGCAGCTGCGTTGCGTTAATTAATTTATTTTTTGTAAGTAATAGCGTTCAGTATGTTGTCCCGATCCGGATTGCCTCGCGGGAAATCCGAGCTGGCATGTTCAGGACGTCTTTGCTCAGTACCTGTCTTTCCCCCCCCAATAGAACGTGTAAGGTCATTTTATAGTTGTATAAGTGGGGCAGCTTTCAGTCTGGATACAAGGGGGGGGGATATACTAGTAGTAATTGCCTCTTTCGTTCTATTCGTCGGGGGAAGAGGGTAGGTTATTGATTTGTTTGCTGATTGGTTGATTGCATCGTGCGCGTCAAGTGAAGTTTTTTGTCAGTCTGATTTGGAAAGCGATGCACGCATTTCAGAGCCATCTCGGGGGAAGAGGAGGAGCAGTGGGAGGTGGAGGATATGGAGTATCACCGCTTGTCGGCGATGGCCTCGTGGCGCCCCCCATGAAGGAGCGCAGCAGGAGGCTGTCGGGGTGGGTGGAGACCAACACCACTAACAGCGATAAACAAAGTGTTGGGACTTCCTCTCCCTTGTTTGAACCCAGCAGACTGCGGCAGAGGTCGACGTCGATGTTCGTTGGCGGCGCGCACGATGCATTACTGCAGAGGATGCGCGGAGGGAGACCAGGTACATCGGGCGGACCAGGTACACCGACGAGTGTAGTAGGTCGAATGCAGGATGGACGGCCGAGATCTCATGGGTTGCCTGGATTTGGGGGGGCGGGAGGGGGAGGGGGAGGGGGAGGGGGAGGGATCTTAGGAGCGGGGGCCGATCCTCTTGGACTTGGCGGAGGTGGCGGCGGCGGAGATTTCCGCATGTTTTTGTCGCCTCCCCCGGCGGGGGGGTGGGGAAGAGGAGGCGCGGGCGGCGGAGGAAAAGCGGTCGAGAAAGGGGGAGAGGGGAGCAGAACGCAGTTGACTTCGCTTGCCGAGGAGAGCGTTATGGAACGAGGTGGCGGGAAACGAGGAGGGGGGGGGGAGAATCAGCGGAGCAGCAGTCGTGGGTCGATGGTTTCCCGCCTTTCGCGGACGTCCAGGCAGTCGAGGAGTCGCCTTCGCGGGAAAATTCGGCGGCCTGTCGTTTCCCGCGAGCAGCTGCAGGCGGTCATCGACCATCTCCGCGAGCCCGGGCCTCCGCCTTTTCACTCGCGGAAAGCGGAGGCGAGAAGACGGGCGCGCTTGGAAAGAAAGCGGGCGAGAGACAAGATGCAAGGCATTGCGCATCTACGCCACCTGATGATCGAACATCGAAAGACAATTCAAGGATTCATTCACAAAAACATATTTCGGGACTTCTTCAAGCCAGACTCTCAGGTTGGGTTTTCACACGCTCGTGTTTTCTTTGGCTCTCTGTAGTACTTGACACTTCCCCTCCCACTCCTCCTCCCTCTCTCCCTCTCTCCTCCTCCCTCTCTCCTCCTTCCTCTCTCTTCCTCCCTCTCTCCTCCTCCCTCCCTTTCTCTTCCTCCCTTTCTCTTCCTCCCTCTCTCCTCCTCCCTCTCTTCTCCTCCCTGCTTCGGTTTCCGCTTGAGGTTCTTGTTTTTGCCGTGTTGTCGCTCCCTGCCCTGCCCGATGAATGCTCTTTTCCTTTCGTTTCTGCGCTCCCTTTCGTGGTTCGCAGCAAGCGTAGGAAGCGTAGAAAGCGCAGTGACGGAGCGCGCAGCAAGCGTAGTAAGCGTAAAAAGCGCAGTGAGCGCAGCGCATCAGGCGCAGGCTCGCAGCAGACGTAGTAAGCGTAAAAAGCGCAGTGAGCGCAGCGCGCATCAGGCGCAGGTTCACAGCAGGCGTAGTAAGCGTAAAAAGCGCAGTGAGCGCAGCGCGCATCAGGCGCAGGAAGCGCAACAAGCGCAGTAAGCGCAACAAGCGCAGTAAGCGCAACAAGCGCAGTAAGCAGGGCAAGCTCAGTGAGCGCAGGCGGAAGCGCAGCGCAGCAAGCGCGGTAAGCGCAGTGAACGCGGCAAGCTCAGTAAGCGGGGCAAGCTCAATATGCGCAGTAAGCGCAGGAAGCCCCGACAAGCGCAGAAATCGCAGTCAGCGCAACAAGCGCAGTAAGCGCAGAGCACCATAGGATGCGTACCTACCTGCGTATCATCGTGGCGCAAAGCCTCTTTTTTTTTTTTTTTTTTTTTTTTTTTTTGAGCAGAGGTATTCTTATCATCTCCATATTTTCACGTTTCTTATTTTTCGACACATCCCTTCTTATATGGCTCAACTGACGCCTCCCGCCCCTCTTCTCTGAGGACAACCTTCCTTTCCTTAGAATGATTAAGCTCCCATTGATCTCAGAGAGCTCCCTTTTTTGGTCGTGCTAATCTTCTCTTCGGAGCTTGTGGAGGAATGGCGTGACTACCTGCTTTCCCCCTCACAAGTTTTTCAACAAAAAAAAAATGACAGCTTCTTTGGTAACAGGAAAAAGAGAGAGAGAGAGAGAGAGAGAGAGAGAGAGAGAGAGAGAGAGAGAGAGAGAGAGAGAGAGAGAGAGACGGAAGTTTGTAAATGTCCGGACGCGACATTTTTACAATATTACAATAAAACGAGCGGCATGGACCCGACTACCTTCTTCCCCCGAATACAACGTTCACCCGAATAGAACGCCCGGTCATTATATCTGTATTTGGCACAACTTTCAGCCCAGATACGGCGATAATTCCCGGGCGTTTTATTCGGGTGAAGACTGTAGCTCGTCTGGGTGAATGGACCCCCGATGAACTGTTGACGAAAAGCAGACCTAAGTTCGAATCCTTGCGGCATCAGAAAATACAGTAAGTGAAAAATAAATAAATAAATAAATGAATAGAAACAGTAAGTGGAACAAATCTGAATCTGAATTACCAGGGAGGGACTGGTCAGTTGGATGATGAGACATCCTTTTTTTTTTTCTTTTTTTTTTTTTCGGGAAAAGGTTGAGAATGATAAGACATCCTCAAAGCTGTCGCCCTTTGGAAAAAAAAGAAGCAAAAAAAGCGGCGCGGCCATTGTACAGCATACATCCTACGGTGATGATGATCTTATTATCAATAAAGAAATCTTTATATAAAAAATATACGAATTCGTTGATCCAGTGGTTGGTTTTCATTAGAGAATTGAACGCATCCTACAGGTGACGATGATCTTTGTGCTTCTGGTCATGTCGAGACTCTTGTCCTCTTTGAGAGTTAGGTAGCTCGCAAAGCTGACAAAACTGACAAATGAAAAAAAAAAAAAAAAAAAAAAAAAGGAATCAGTTTCATGATACACTGATGTGATTAAAAAGAAAAGAAAAGAAAAAAATT